TGGGCGCAGCGGGCGGCGTGGGTGGGAGCCCGGCAGGGAGCGGGGGTGGCGGTGGACTCCGTGAGGGTCTTGCTTTAGTGCTTACGGCCATTGCCCTCCCCACATGGTCGTAGAGGAGGAGGAAAGAGTTTACAGTGACTGGGGCAGGAACAGCGTTTAGGTGCCTGTACTGCATGAGAGTGTGTGCATTCACACACCTGTGTAGGTGAGAGCATGTGGCTGTGTGTGTGTGTGTGTGTGTGTGTATAATGTGCATCTCTCTGGAGATATCTAAGTTAATCTCCATCACGTGTACGTGTATCTGTATGGGGGTATAGTTTTTTGAGTATGAATCTGTGTATGTGTGTGATACATAAGTGTGTAAATGTAAGACTGTGACCACGATGTGTTTATGTTGTCCACTCTCATCCCTCCGCCTGAGACACCGTTCCTGCCGTCTGTATTTCTTTAGTCCTCTGTGGAGGACTCAGCATGGCTGTAGACCTTGTGTAAGCCTGCTCCCTGTGCTTGTTTTCCTGTCTATTCCTGTTAGGGGTAGCACTGCGGAGACATACAGAAGCCCCTTCCTGCAGGGAGGCAGCCAACCAGAAAGGGCAACCTCCAGGCTGGGACCTGTTGCTGCCCCACCCTTCACAGGGAGCAAGGACAGGGATCCGTGTGTGTGTCTCTGTATGTGTCATGCCCTTTTTGTTTAAAGTATCACCTCCAGGGCTAGCTTCCCATTCTGGTGTTTTTAAATAAGGAGACATGCAAGATACCTGAGATTCTTCAGAAAGCCTGGAAGTTTCCATCTTAGCCCTTCTTTTTAATGAAATGATTGTTCAATTGAGGGAAGCTGTGGGCAGAAAAGAGTATCGGCAAGTCATCTGGGGAAGATTCTGTTCCTGTTCCCAGCTCTGCCAGCAGCCCTTCAGAACCCTGCACAAGTCTAGGACTCAGTTTCCCCCTATGTAGAAGGAAGCAGTATTTATGGTGTCCCGGATCTAGTGTATGTCAGTTGAGGTTTGACTGCTGGGCAGGCATTGCTCCTGGTAGCCAGAGGCTGGGCCTATCTCCTAGGGGCAGCTGAATTTGGGGCTTGAAACCACCTTTCTTCTGGCTTGAGGCTGAAGCTAGCTCCTGATCATGTAGATCTCTTCTCATCCTGCTTGTTGCCTGAGATGGGTCGGGCAGAACCTTGCTAGAGGCAAATTTGTTGAACTGCAGATTTAGAATCAGAGGGCAAGTTTCTTGGTTGCAAATTCATGGGTGTTTCTAAATTCCTCATTTATTGGCTGGGGATGATCTCAGTGGTTCTGCTGCCTGCCTTGCAAGCACAAGGTCCTGAGTTCGATCCCCACTAAAAAAAAAACAAACAAAAAAACAAATACTGCATTTATTGAGGCCAATTATTTCACTAATGATTGCTTCTATTTACAGAAGGCAGCTAATTTCCCTCCACTGAGTGCACATTAACCTTATGAAGTGGTTCGAATTGTCTCCATCTTATAGACAAGGAAACTGAAGCTTATGGGGACCACCAAACCAAGAAGGGGCAGAGTCAGGAGTCACTTTCCAAGTCTGTCTGACGTCAAAGCCAAACTTATCCACAAAACATGCCCATCCATGCCTACAGTGCCACGGCCTTGAGATGTGTGGCTGACATAATCTTCATTGAGAATATCCTGGGCCAGAGAGAATAGAGGTTGTTTCTAGGGCACAGAATAGGTGCAGGGAACAGTGTAAAATCTGGTGTCTTTGAGCTCCCTGTCGAGCACTGGGTGCCCCTGAGAGCTTGGTCACAAGTCTGTGCCCTCCAGAGCAGACATGCCCTGTTCTTTCTTTCCTTTGCTCACCTCTGGGGACTGCAAGGGTTGAGGGGTGGGATTCCTGCAATATTAGAAATTTCATCTCCAATGGGATGGGACATCTCTTGCCTAGAAATAGGAGAGTCAGGTCACTTCTTCTCTCAATCCTCGAGATTCAGAGGAGTCACATCTCTGCCTGTCATGGCCTCACCCTCCTTTCTGGAAAGAGTATCTTAGTGGTCAGCTTCTGTTTTAAATAAGGCATGCATGTGTGCAGGCTTAGCCTTAGCTTGAGCCACTGCAGCCACCAAGGGGAAAGTAGAGGCCATGGGGCTGAAACTCTGTCCACTGCCGATGTAGGAAGTCCTCTGGACCCACTGCCTAGGTGGCAAGGCAAGAATATGTTTGGTTGGGGCTGGACATGTGGCTGAGTGGTGGGGCACTTGCGTACAGCCCTTGCCTAGTATGTGCAAGGCCCCAAGTTTGAGCCCCAGCACCAAACACATACACGCACGCACACATACACACACACACACACACACACACACACACACACGCACACGCACAACACAGAAGGCACTTGGACTCAGCCAAAGCAGGATTCAAATCCTGGATACAATTCCTGAGAAGGTGTGTGACCAACACTGAACAAGCTTCTAGGCACAGCGCTAAAGAGAACTGGCCTGGTCTCTGTCTTCCTGGCATTGACATCCGACAACAGGAGACAAACTGTGGCAGACCGTTAGTGTGATTAGGAGAATGAGGTGCACAAGGTCTGAAGGAGAGGCACTTGGCACCTGAAGAATACAAAATGGACTGAGGTGCAGCTTAGTAATCGAGCACTGGCCTAGCATGTGTGAGACCCTGGGTTGCATCCCCAGCATCAAGAAAAGAAAAGATCACAGAACAAGGCAGAAATAAAAGCAGAGGGTAGAGGAAGTTTTTTTGTTTGGTTTTTTTGCCAAGGATGTGATGTTGAAGAACATATAAAAGATGAGTAGGCTATGTAAGTAGTGGTGTGAGGGGAGCTGGAGAGAAGGAAAAACCTGGCAGTGCGAATTGTGTGGGCAGTGACTCTGGCTGGAGGGAGCAAGGTGGATTTGGGGGAAGCCAGATGGCTGGAGCAGCGAGAAAGTATCATGCTGGTGAGACCAAGCAAGGGGAAAAGGATGAGGAGGAAGGACACTGGCAATCTGGAAAGAAGTGGAGCTGAAATTGCGTGCACATGAATTGTGTGCCCTTGGACAAGTGACTGTCTATCTTCACAAGGATCTGAGTTTAGTTTTATTCATTATTGGAATGGAGATTACTCACTTGGCAGGATAACCAATATGAAAACACCCACCACATTTGCCTGAGCTCCACAGCAGGATTAGGTGGTTTTAGTGGTGTGTGTGTGTGTTGCCTTCTCCCCTGCCACCACCACCACTGTGGGAAAGCTGGAGATAGGATGGCTTCAATATGATTTCCTCCAGGTAACTCCAAGCAGCTTTTCCTGACTCCTTCCTGGCTCTTGTCCTCCCTGCCACCCCTTAATTTTGTTTGGGTTTCTAGAGCTAGCAGGGATTGGCTTCCTGTTGCCATGACAACAGCCATTAAAAGAGCCAGCCACATGACACTGGTTGATTAAGGAAGTAAAGTGACTGCCTTGTTTTCCTGCTTTGGGCTGGGGTGGGGGGGTGGTACTTAATCAGAGCACTTGTGGGCAGCAGTTGAGACCCCAGGAAGGGGGCTGGGAGAGGTGGCAAGTCCTGCAGGGAAGCTACATTTAGCTCTGTGAACTGAGCTGGCACAGCCATAACTGTGGAGCCATCATCACAGCTGCTGAATCTAGGGATGTGAGCCTACTGGTCCCAGGGCTGGGAGCAAGAGGATGGGAGAGGAAGTTGCAGTGTGGCAAGGCTGGAGGAAAATGAAGAAAGCAGCTGATGGTGCAGTGGGGACTCCAGGTTTGCTCTAATTCAATAGTCTTTCTAAGGAAGAGGGAGCAGCTTTATCAACCCCACTTCCAGATTGGATTGCCACATGATAGACATGGTGCACACTTGTGATCCCAGCTACTGGGGAGACGGAGGCAGGAGGATTGCTAGTTTCAGGCCAGCCTGGACAAATTCATGAGACCCTTTTCCAGAATAAAAAGCTAAAAGAAAGAAAAAGGGTTGGGGCTATAGATAGAGCATTTGCCTAGCATGGGGAAAGCTCTGCGTCCATTCCCCAGCATTATCGAGAACAAAACAAAAGCCTGCATTTCAGATGAGCAATGAGTAAGTTTTCAGAATGAACATATATTACTAAATCTGGCAACCCTACCCACAGCACATTTGGCAGTGTCTGGAAACATTTTGGTTGTGGGAAGAAGCCAGGGTTGGTGCTCAATATCCTGTGAGAACAGGACACCCCTTCTGTTGCCGCCTTCACCCTGACCAAGAAGTATCTGGCTTTATGTGACAGTACTGTCCCAGAAATGCTTGGGATCAGAAAGTTTTGGGTATA